TCCATGTGGGGAGAGCCCCGTGGAAATGTTGATCTGAGAATTGAGAAACCTTTCAGAGGAGTAAGTATAGTCCTTCTGCTTGTATTCTTTCTCATTTCACCCAAAATTTCTGCTTTTCCCCGGCTGTTTACAGATAATTTACAAAAGCCTGTTTTCTATGCTTGATTGTGTTTCTTAAAACTAACCCCAAGAAATAACCCCAAGTAAAAATTTTCCACCGGACTGTGTTCTTAATACATATTTATAGTTGCTGAGTTGATGTGAGAATGTAGCCAGTCTGTCAAAATGTTGCACAAGTGCGTGAGACCTTCAGGCTGGCTCCCCCGATCCCAGCCAGGGAAGCAGAAGGACGACGAGTGTTTGCTGAGCACCTGCTCCGGGCCAGGCACTGGCTGGACTTTGAATTCAGGGACTCTGCAAGAAACCTCATTCCGGCCCCATTTCAGAGACAGGGAAACTGAGGTTCATGCAGGTGGCCACTTTTAAGGCCTTGCACCTACAAAGGATGGTGGTGGGATTTGAACCCAGGTGCGACTGAGTCCAAAGTTCACACTGCATCTGTTGAACCTCCCAACTCCTAGGACACACCAGAAAAGTAAAGCAGGAGATGCAGAGGTGGGTCAGATCAGCCACTGGAGAGCCTGTTGACTTCTTGATAAAAATGAAAGCTAAAACACTTGCCCTCTCCCATTCTCCCTAAGCAAGTTCTGCTGGCTGACACGCGGGGAGCACCCCTTCCCTGGGGAGCATTCCTCCAAAGGGTAATGGCTGCAAGCCCTTGGCTGTGTTCTGATTCAGGTGGTTCAACCCACTGTGTAGGCACTGCATGGAGCATCGGCAGGAAGCTGGGGCCTGTAAGTGGCATCAGGCTTAAACATAGACATACTTGAAGGTCACTGCCCAGCAAACAGCCAGGGTGGTGGGCAGAGCTCTGCCTGGATGTAGGAAGCCACGGGCAAGGTGGGGGGAGGGGGAGAGGGGCAAGGTTTTCAGAGAAAGGATGTCTGTGGCTCTTTTCCCTGGTGGCATCATGAGACCCTCCTCAACTCCCCTTGCTGAACCCAGACCCAGGCAGTGAGCGTTCCCAGGAGACAGGACACTCCACTGGGGGGCTGGGCACATGCTAGCATCTCTTAGCCCATCACTGCACCTCCTTTGGGCCCTCCCACCTTTGCTTGGCCGTTGTAATTCATTCCGTATTCTCTTCCCTGACTTTCCAAGAGGGTCTTCCCCACTCTGATTCGGGTGACCCCGAACTCTCCACCAGAGTGGACAGGGCTCATTGGAAGCCGTCGAGACATCTGAAGGCCCCTTCCTCCTGGGCACACGTCTCTCCCTCCTCTCTGCCACTGTCTTCTCACACAGAGGATTTGGGTCAATGAGATGGAGGGCAGAGAAACAGGAGAAAGACCCCGGTGGGAGACGACTCCTGGTAATGGTAATAAACGGGGAGGGGAAGTCAGCCCGGTGGCCGGCAGGGCTCCTGTGTAGTCTTGCGCTCGTTGCGTGCTTGTCAAATGATGGGTCCCCCAGCACCACCTCGCCCCTGCCCTTAACACCTCCGGCCACACACACCTCTTCTCTCTCTCTCTCATCCTTTCTCGCTCCTGCTGCCTCTCCCTCCCATCCCCGCTTTCTTCTCAGGGTGAGCAGTCATGGAGCAGGCTGCTAGGTCTCTGGAGTGTCTGTCACACACACTGACCAGGCAGCTCTGTGGAAGTACGGCCACCCTCCCCTCTGTCCAGAGCTTCTGGGACCGGGGTGAGCAGCAGGACCTGGTGGAACATCTGAGGGGAACATCAGCCACCTTTTCCATTTCCGAGGGCCAGAGTTCCTCTGAATTCAGACGGGCTCTGGCTGTTCACCTTGGGTTGAAAATGCAGGTTTTGGGATGGGACCTCAGAGATCACGTTGAGGAAGAAAGAAAAATAAAAGCCCGCATGGATCAACTGTAATACTTGGATCTCGCTGTTTTTTCCCTTTGAGGGAAAACTCCGCCATCCCAGTTTTGGGGTGATGCTCATTTGAGAGTGAGGAGCGTGGAGAGATGAGGGTGGTTCTCCTGGGTGCCCCCCGGGAATGAATTTCCTTTTCCTCCAGAGCCAGAGTGACTGTGGGAGCCTCACAGGGCCACCGTCTTCAGGTGTCAATGCTGTTTGGGGTCCAAATCCAATTATTTCTCAAGTTCTTCCTGGTAATTTCTTACCTCTCTGGCCAGGGGGAGCTTTGCAAAGACAAAGCTCAGAGCAGATCATTTCTGCTACCAAACCTTAGGCAAATAAACATTTAAAGAAATCTTGTTATTAAAGTAGTAAGTCTTATAGAGAAGGTTTGAGGGGGTTGGGCCAGTGGCATAGTGGTTAAGTTTGCACGCTCCGCTTCAGCGGCCTAGGGTTTCGCCAGTTCAGATCCTGGGCACAGATCTACACACTGCTCATCAAGCCATGCTGTGGCAGCATCGCACGTAGAAGAACTAGAAGGACTTACAACTATGTACTGGGGCTTTGGGGAGGGAAAAAAAAAGAGAGGAAGATTGGCGACAGATGTTAGCTCAGGGCCAATCTTCCTCACCAAGAAAAGCATACCTTCAAAAAAAAAAAAAAGAAAGTTTGAAAATACAGAAGAGTGTAAAGAAAGTAAAAATTCTCCATAATCTCAACAATGAGGAATGACCCACACTGTCTAGAACCTTTATTTATTTCCTCACTGTCCTTTGGAATGCACATATGAAAATATACTGTATTTTAAACATGGTTACAAGCATGTTGAACTTTACAGCCTTTTTCCTTTGACATCACAAACATTATGGCAAGCAAAAATTTTTAAAAAGCACTTGAGCTTTGCGAGCGAGCATATGCTTTGCAAACATTTCTGTCAGCCACCAGTAAGCAACTTGTAAGAACTCACGTTCTACCCAAAACAGAAATTGTGCCAGTCTGGGAGTCCTTTGTTCACCATGCAGTAAACCTAGCCAAAATACTGTAAATTTAAACAGACTAAAACTAAAACCCAACCACTTGAAAAAATTTAAAACATTCTCCTAAATTGCTTTTGGGTCAAGGAAGAAATAAAGAATATAGTGACGAGTATTTAGAAAGCATTGAAACCCAGAATGCCATGTAACCAAACCTGTGGGAGATATTCTCATAGCCTTAAATGCTTTTATTATTAAAAAGAGAGAGAGAGAAAGAATAAACCAAGCATTCAGCCTGAGATCTTAGGGAAAAAAAGAATGAAAAACAGCCCCTGAGGAAAACGGGAAGGAAAAAAAGAGTAAAGATAAAAGCAGAAATAAATGAATTAGAAAACAGGAACAGTGAAATTAGCAAACATATCCAAGAGCTGGTTCTGTTTTTAAACAAACAATAAAGTAGACTAACCTCTGGCAAATCTACTGAGAAGTAAAAGAGAGAAAAGAAAAAAATAATAAGAATGAGAAAAGGGGACATTGCAATAGATAGATTTTTAAAAATAGAAATGTATGCACAATAGGCTCAAATTTGAAAATCTCAAATCAATCCTTTTCTGAAAATGTATGTTGCCAATTGAGAAAAAATTTGTGATCGTATCAAAGCACTGCCCCCTCTACCCAAAGAAGACCCTGGTCCCAAGTGTTTTTGCTAGGTAATTATTTCCAATTTGATAATGCTGATAACGTTAAGCTCTTCCGTGGCTTAGCAAAAGATGGAGAGCTCTCCAATTCATTCTACAAAGCAAAATAAACCTGATATTAAACATGGCAAAGAGACCATATTCAAGAATGAAAATGCTGTGTCGGAAATAGAATTCAAGAATATATTAAACAAGTCATCCACCGTAACCCAGTCAGGCAAGGAGAGGGGAACTGTCGATATTAGAAAAGCTTAATATAGTAACCACGTCATGCTAATGGGTGAAAGCAGTAAAACGGGATTGGGTCCAATGTATGTGGAGGAAAATTGATTAAAATCGAATAACCATTTCTACCTAATCAATACACAGAAAAAGGAATAGAAGGGTGCCTTCTTAGCATGATTAAGAATACCTGTTTCAAACCAATAGCCAATGTGATCGTGAACAGTGAAAGACCAGAGGCATTCCTATTGGAACCAGTAACAAATTGCATCACGTCGCCATCACTATTTAACATTGCCTTTAAAATTCTAGTCAACATGGGAACACTGAAACAGAAGCACGTTATAAAGGAGGAGGAAACGTAACAGCATGCACAATTTATACCAAACTTTGGACTAGAGGTTGATTTCTAAAGTTTAGAAATCAAAAATCCTCAAAAAATTCAGCAGATTTGACTACATTTTAAAAAATCGTAACTCCTACGTGAAGTCTACAAGACAACTGAGAGCCTGGGGGAAAGAAAGATCTTATCAGAAGACACGGAAAGGGTTAGTATTTTAATTCTACCAAGATCCTATATATATGAGTTTTAAAAATCAAAATTTAAGCTTGAAGACAAAGTGAACACTATATAATTAGCAATAAATACCCAACCTAAATGCCAGATGATGGCCTCCTTGAGGTCAGGAACCAGGTCAATTCACTGCGTGACAGATACTGTATTGAATTTATATTTGTCGAGCAAATCCATGAAGGCAGTGCAAGTTTTAGAGTATGATACCATTTTTTACCTTTTAAATTAGAGGTTTTCTTCAAGCTTTTATGGTGAAAATTTTCAAATATATAGAAAAGTTGAAAGAATAGTCCAGTAAATACTCATACACCCACGCCTGGAGATAACAGATGCTAACATTGGCCATATTTGCTTCATCCATGCATGCATATATTTTTTTCCTGAACCATTTTTTTTTTTTTGAGGAAGATTAGCCCTGAGCTAACATCTGCCGCCAACCCTCCTCTTTCTGCTGAGGAAGACTGACCCTGAGCTAACACCTGTGCCCATCTTCCTCTACTTCATATGTGGGACGCCTGCCACAGCATGGCTTGCCACGCGGTGCTATGTCCGCACTCGGGATCCGAACCGGCGAACCCCAGCCCACCAAAGTGGAACGTGCGAACTTAAACCTCTGCACCACTGGGCTGGCCCCATCTGAACCATTTTTAAGTAATTTGCAGAACACATATCACTTTTTCCCTGAATATGTCAGCTCGTGAATCCTAAATCTCCCAAAATTTAGCACTCTGTGGGGAGGTTTTGGAAGCTGCTGCACCGTGCTCCAAGGGGGTCTGTGCACATCGCCCTAGTCCTTGAGAAAGTGTTCAGTGCGCACAGGCGTGACCGTCTGACATGTAAGAGCAAAGAAAGCACACATTCATTATCAGGCCCTGTGCTGGGTGTTTGACGGATGGTCTCCTGTTTGATCCTCTCCACGACGGTATGAAGGAGACGTTATGCCCATTTTGGAGGAAGTTGAAGTTCAGAGAGGTTAAGTAACTTGCTCAAGTGCACACAGTGGCATTCTTCACCCCAGGCCCATTTGACACCATGGGATTATACAACACTTACCTCTCCTCTGTATCTTCTTCTCTGCATGAATGCATGAAGGCATTTCGTGGGCAGTGTGGACAAATCGGAAGCCATCTGAATGTCCTGCAGTGCGGGAATGAGCGGGCAGACGGTGATCTGTGCACTCGTGTGAATGTTCTGTGTACGAATATTCTGATTATTGATCGTGAACATGCAACATGGAAATTGCATGTGTCGTCCAGGTGAGAGAAAACAAGCAGGACAAGAGCTTATACACACCGTGACCCAAACCATGTGAAAACCCCGTGCTTGGAGAGGGCCAAGAAGAGAAACACAGAAGTGGTTGGGTTAGGATGAGCAGGAGTATTAATTTTTTTTTTCTCTTTCATCTTTTTCAAACTCTTTGCATTGGGTGATTTTGTTAATTTTATAATAGAAATTTTTAACCCAAAATAGCCATTTATACCCACTTTCCAGTGTGTAAGCTCCTGGCAAGGGAAGGCTCTGCTCTGTTGATGGCTATTCTTTCATTTTCCGATGACCAGCCCCATGCCTGACATGTTATGGACGTAATAAATGTGCTGGACGAGTGCCCACTGGGAAACCTCTCCGAGAGGCTTGGCCCAAGAGCGTGTTTGCAGAGAGCTTCCGCCAGCTGGCCTCCGCGAGAGCAATCGCAGGCCAGGTGTATGTCATGGGCTGGGGTGTTTGCTGGGTGGTGAGCTCTCCTGGTCCAAGCAGAAAGGGGCTGCCAGGGTGTAGGGACCCTTCTGGCCATTCAGCACCACCACGGGCATTTAGTGCTAATAAGAACCATGTGGGATAAACAAACTCCGGCTCATCCGGAAACAGATTTTATGTCATTCTCAGACTTTCTAAATTGATAATAATGTTGTATGAACAGCTGTTATTTATTGTGTGCCTACTAGAGGCCAGGCTAGATGCATTTACAAAACCATTCCCTCGTTTCATTGTCCCAACCACCCTAAGAATTTGCAACTGTTATCTCCCTTTTATCGATGAGGAGACTGAGGCATAGAGGGTTCCAGGGTAAGTCTCAGTTTTGCCAAGAACTTGACTTTCAGCAAACCACAGGCCTTCTGGGCTTTGATTTCCTTGTCTGTGAACAACGGCAGGTGACGCTAGTTGAGTGTCTACTATGTGCCAGGCCCAGCAGAGCGGAGAATGTGAGGCCACCTTCAACAAACAAGCAAACTGGATCGACTCCACTGGCCTGTCTATGCCAGAGCTTCACACAGCACGTTCCCTGGTGGGATAAACCCAGTTGGTTCTGTTTGTTTGGGTTTGTTTTACTTTCCCAAGACCAAATCTTTTGAGCCACTGGTCACACCCCGTCACTCCTTGTTCCTAGACAGCAGGGGCATCTTCAGTGGCCGTGCCATTTGTTATCCCCTGCTGGGGAGCTTGTTAAAATGCGGTTCCCTGTGTCCAGCCCCAAATTCACTGGATCTAGGCGGGACCCAGGAGTTTGCATCTTAAAAGACCTTCAGGTGGTTCCGAGCTGCCAGTCTTGTTATGGTCAACTTGGGCCAGCCGTGAACTGTTACAGTGGCCTTTATCCTCTGAGATTAAACCTGCAAATGCTTGGGCTGTTATCAACCGAAGCCCGTTTTCATCTGGAGGGACCCAGTGGCGTTATGAACGTGTGTAAGGATGGCAAATTTTGTACTCTGTACTGGGCACTTGTAAATTTCTCATTGACAGAACATTCTCTTCAAACCTTAGCTCCATGGAGCTCAGCAGGCCACGTGTCGTTGCGTGTAAATTCCAAGAACACTTAAGAAACTTACATATATTATTTTCTGTCTTTAAGAGAGAAGAGAGGCAGGCGAGATGACCGTGGAAAATGAAACATCCCCAAAAAGTGGCAATCGAGAATGCATGTTTGAAATATTAAGAAAGGGCAGATTTGAGGCTCTCTTACCTATCAGGAGAATTTTCATCTAAGAGGAAAGAATACATCTGCATTTAAAGCTCTTAAGTTTAGAAACACTGTCGTGCATTCCTAGGCCAGTGCTACACAAAAGGACGGCCCGTGGACTGATACTGTTCTGCACAGTGTTAGCAAGCCAAGAGAAATCAGAATGAAGCTTAGAAACTCCTATAGTTTGACGTTGCCATGACGACATCCAAGCAGGTGATGGCGGCTGCATCTTGAACAGGGTGTGGACCACTGTGAGCATCACTGACTTCGTCTGGCAGTTCACGGGACCTGGAGCTGCCTGTTAGTGTTAATTCTTCAAGGGATTCCAATAAAGCTGATCCTCCACTGCAGAGAGTTTGAGAAGCTCCGGGTATGGTGAAAAATGGTGAGAGTTTGCAGTGGGAGGTGTGCTCTTAAGCTTAAGAGTAGAAAGTAGGAGACGAGTTGGGGAAACGTGGAAGACTTCTCACTCCCATCCTCCAGATCCCAACAAGCAGTTCCTGCAGACGGGAGTCCGCTGCCACACCAGCTGGCCGCTCTATTTTGAGCCCTTCCGCTTGTCCCATAGGATTTGTTGAACCCTGGTCATGGAGCCCGTGGGAGAGATTTGCTGCTCCGGGCTGGAGCATGGTGGTTCAAGAGATGGCCTTCGGAGCTGTGACCTTGGTCCACTGACTCTGCTTCTCTACAATTCAGAGTTTAGAAAGGGGAATGACAGTCCCTCCTGGAAGGGTTCTCGTGGGAGACAGAAGTAAAATAACATGCCAGGGGCTCCGCACACTGTCTGCACTTGGGGAAGGGAGGGTCTTTCGTGTTGTTTTGTCTACATTATTTGAACGAGTGGATTGCATTGTGGGTCTCCAGGAAGTTGCCAGCCGCCCTCCCTGTTTCCGAGTTCCTGTGTGTGTGCGTGTGCATGTGTGTGTGTGTTCTGTGCCCTTGGTGGTGGTGGCGGTGGTGGTGGGGTTGTCAGGAAACAGCCATCAGTTTCCTGCTGATTAACTCAGTTCCTGGAGGGCCCTCCCTAGCAGCAAGGGAAGCCTGGCCTGCCTCACCGACCTGCTCTCCCGGCCCTTCTGGGAGGCCCACGTGCCCTCCAGCTGCCCAGGGCCCAGGACACCCTCGCAGGCCTGTGGAGCCTGCCTTTGTTCTGGTCCGGGTGCAGCTGCCTCCCGTTTTGCCTGCAGGTGTGTTTCCCTTGCACACCTGGCACCTGTGGGACTCGGGCCTCTTCCAAGTCACCCCCCCAAGTTGGGCCTAAGAGGTTTTGCTCTTCTGAACTGCGAGCCCTTGGAAATGGTGGTGTTAGGGTCCCCTCCCCCTGCAGAGAAGGAGGTCTGATGGCAGGGGTCCCAGGAGGGAGCCCAGGCCAGGGCAGCAGACCCCAGGATCTGCCTGCGGGTAGAAGGGGAGTCTGGGGGGCTCTGCCTTTGGTCTTCAGAAAGGAGGTTCTGGCAGCAGGGAGAGGCTAGGGTAGTGTTGGGATTTGGGGGTCCCTGGCCTGCATAAAGGATCAGCAGAGTAAGGGAGCCCAGTTGGGGGAGGGGCTGGGTCTGGTATGAGCCCGTGGTCATGTGCTGGGCTGCATCTCCTCTCCACTGCGCTTGGAGACTTGGCGACACCATGCACAGTGGTCCCTAAAATGTGGGGGCCACAACATGAGGCCATGGTCCTGGTCCTAAACAGTTCAGCTATCTGCAGGGTACCAGTGCCGAGCAGAGGCTTCCTCCTGGGACCCCCAGCTCCCCCAGCAGCAGCATCCCCTCCCTGCGCAGAGGAGCCCAGCTGCCGGCCAACAGGGAAAAGCTGGTCTCCGGGCCGGCACTGGGTGTCAGGCTGCTGCTTGCACTGGGGCCGGGCCGGGACCACCTTGTGCCTGGTGTGTGTGGCAGACCCTCACAGCTTCTTGAATGACTGCACTTCCCAGCACACATGCCACTCCGTGCACACTCCCCGAGCCCGGCCGGCTCTGCGAGCTCTGCGGCTCCTCTGCAGCTCTGCGGCTGGGCCAGGAGCCCTGTGCTCGCTAATCCCCGGGCTGAGTCAACAGCGTCGGCCGCGTGTTTGGTTAGCAAACAGGGAGCTGTGCCGGGGCAGGGCGGCCCACCGCCTCTCTGCTCCCACCTTTCTAGCAAAATGTCCTCTGCAAAGGTCAGCCAGGACCAGCTATGTAATTTGCGGGGGAGGGCCTGGTGCAAAATGAAAATGAGGGCCCCTTCTTTGAAAATTAGTGAGAATTTCAAGACAGCAACAGCAGAGCGTGAGGAAGCCGGGCCCAGGCCGTCCTCGGCCTGGGGCCCGTGGGACTGCATGCACCCTGAGGTCAGCAGGTCCCCTCCTTGTGAAGTTCTGGTCCTTCCGAGTGTGGCAAAATTGGGCTTCTCTTTGGTGGAAGAGGGACTTTACATCCAAACCAGCTGCCAGCCCTGAACACACTGTCCCCACCCTGTCCCACAACAGCTTTTCTCAAGGCTGGAGTGACTTCCCCCTCAACTTCTCCTTTCTGTGCTTCTCTACCCCGGTTCCCCCTTTCTTTGTAAACTCAGAAAGCTTTTGAGAGCCTTCCTCCCTCCCTCCCACTCCTCCTCCTTCTTTCTTTCTTCTCCTCCATCCTCGCTGCCCTCCCCCCTCTCTCCCTCGCTTCTGTCTGGGGAAATCCTGTCCCGTGTTTGCTCTATAGCGTTTCCCATCCATTCATTTGGTGCTGTTTGATTTTAATGTCCCTTTGAACGCCATCAGCCTCCGGGAGCGCTCCTTGGGCTTCCGAAGCCTCTCTCTGAAGTGGCTCAAGCGAGCACCTTCCCCCACTGAGGGACATCCCTTCGGTGGCCTCTGGCTCTGTCCAGATGGTCTCTGCCCGTTGGGAGCCTGGAATGAATTCTCATTGTTCGCGTTCATCACTCACCACCTCCTCCCCACATTCAGCTGTCAGCCCTACTGGCCACAGTGGAAAGAAAGCCTGCTCCATTCTTCCTTATGACACCCTACAGGCCCTGGTGACAGACCTGGCCTCAGTTCCCAAAGACAGCGGCTTCCACAGCTCCCACCCAGGCCTAGAGCTGGGGGGCGGGCTGTGTGAAGGGGTTAAATAGATATGCCTAGTGGGACTGTGTCCCGGCCTTCCCTCGCACTCTCCACACAGTAGCCAGAAGGATTCTCAAAGCAGCCATTGGTTCCTGACACTTCCTTGCCTAAGACCCTCTTCTGGTTCCCCGATGCCTGAGAATGGCGTCCATATCCTGTGTGTGGCCTGCAAGGCCCCGCCTTCCCGGAGAGGCTGGCAGCCCAGGGTTACTGAAGAGACGTTGAGCCGCACCTTGAAGGATGAGAGAGGTTTGGGAAGATGGAAAGAAGGAGAAGGAACTTTACAGGGAAGGGATGGCTCAGAGGACAGGTGGAAGGTGGAAGTCGAGAATGGCTGGGGAGAAGGGGACAGCAGGACTGGGGAAAAGTCTGGCTCAGCTCTGAGGACCTGGTCTCTGGGAGATGGTACTCAACCTTGGTGCACATTCGAATCATGGGAGGGGCTTTTAAAAATTACCAAAGACTCTGGGGGTGGGTACATCCAGGGTCTATGTGTCTGCTCCACCAGGGCCACAAGTCTGGGCATCCCCTACGGGCACTTCAGGAAACTGGCAGGAGTCAGCTACCACTCTTGCCCACAGCTGGAATGCACTGGGACTTTTCTGTGTTGATGGGAAGGCCACCTTGCTCAATCAGCTCTGAGCCCCTGGCCAGAATGAACTAAGGGAGCACTAAGCAGAGATGGGACCCCTGGAGAGTCAGTTGGAAAGGACCCTCTTCAGAAGGGGAAACTGAGGCCTGATCACCAGTGAGTACCACGACCCGGTAGCAGAGCCTGGGGTTTCCAGCCTTCGCCACCGCCTGGCGAGGTGAGGGCTAGCTAGAACGGAACAGGGGCGGCATGCTTCCGACTGTTAGAGCATCCTCAGCACTCATAATCCCCACCATCTGGGTCCTTTTCTCTGACCTTCAAATGTGGGGTACCAGGATGCTTGCTTGAAGATGAGGGAGGCAGGGCTTCTGCCCTCAAAGAACTCAAGATCTGGGGGTGGTGATGGGCCCAGGAAGAAATCTGGATGCTGTCTCCAGACCTGTAAGAGACAGGCTTGAGGGAGAAGAGATGCGTTCCCCAGGGGAAGACTTGATGAGGAGGCAAAGATGCAAGTGAGAGTCTGAGTGTAGTGTCTACCTCCTTAACCCTTCAGGCCTGGCTTTCCTGCCAAGATGCTGAACTAAATGCAGGAGCCACTAGTCTGAGCCCAGGTATTGATTTTCCTCAGGCGGCAGGGCTGGGCGGGGCCGGGGCAGCTAGGGCCCGAGGCTGGTTTTGCACAGCCCTGACTGTGCACCCGAGTGCAGTTCAGACACTCTTTCCTGTGCGCGCCGTGCAGACTGGGAACACTGCGGTAGCCCATCTCTTCATCCCGGGCACGCCGCTTTCTGCGTTGGGCAGCTTGGGTAACAAACCAAAGATTGGCCCAACCGATGCAAAGAACAAGACACAGCTCCCCTGCGTGGTCTGTTTGCTCATACCTTTTTGTGCTGAAAATGTCCAGCCTAACAGAAAAGCTAAGCGCCTTCATCTAGATTCACCAGTCATTACCATTTTGCCGTGTTTGTTTTCTCTTACTCTCTTTCACGTGGTTTTGCTGAATCATTTGAAAGTGGGTTACAGGCAGCACGATGCTTCACCCCTAAATACTTCAGCGGGGGTCTTTTAGGAGTGTGGATGTTCCCCTGCATGACTACGATAGCATCATCACCCCTAAGATTGTCATCATTCAGGGTGGACGGTCCCCGACTTAGGATGGTTCAGTTTAAGATTTTTTGACTTTACGAGGGTGCAAAGCCACACTCATTTAGTAGAAACCTTACTGTGAAGTTGAATCTTGATCTTTCTTGGGCTAGCAATATGCCTTACGAGCCTCTCTCGTGATGCTGGCCGTGGCCGTGAGCTGCAGCTTGCCGTGGGCCCTGTGATCACGAGGGTGGACAGCCGATACAGTTCCAGCCGTCTGTACCCCGACAGCCGTGCTGTTTTACACTGTCCGTACAGTAGTCAATAGATTACATGAGATATTCAATACTTTATCATAAAATAGGTTTGTGTTAGATGACTTTTCCCAACTGCAGGCTAATGTAAGTGTTCTGAGCACGTGTCAGGTGCACTGGACTAAGCGAGGATGTTCGGTCAGTTAGGTGTATTAAATGCATGTTCAACTTACAATACTTTCAACTTACGATGGGTTTTTGGGCTGTAACCCCATCGTGAGTCAAGGAAGATCTGTAATATCATCTGATATGCAATCATACGCCACATAACATTTCAGTCAACCACAGACCGCATATGCAGCAGTGGTTCCATAAGATGAGTACCATAGAGCCCACGTGTGTAGCAGGCTATACCACCTAGGTTTATGTCAGTGCAGTCTGTGATGTTGACACAATGACGAAAGCTCCTAAGGATGCATTTCTCAGAACATGTCCTCATCATTAAGCGACCCGTGACTGTGCAGTCCTATTCAAATTTCCCCAGTTGTCCTCCAAAAATGTATTTTAGGCTCTTTTCCTGATCCAAAAAGCCTCATGTGTTGCATTTGGTTGTTATATTTCTTGAGCTTCTTTTAATCTAGAACAGTGCCCCTGCTTTGTGTGAGTGTGACAGTGGCCTTGCAGAGTCCAGGCAGGCCAGTTGTCTTGCTGCATGGACTCTGGCTTTGTCTGATGGAGGACGCTCAAGTTAAGTTTGCATAGTTTTGAAACTCACCTGATGATTGCTTCATTGTGTCTAAAAAAGTCCTAAGGCAGAGGGTACAGTTGTCCCCTACCCCTGTGTGAATTATGGGATATCCTGTCCAGCCACCCAGAAAAAGAGGTGGCATTATATTTACAAAATGTGTCAGCTGACCGTAAAGGTCATTGCACCTGACCCACAGCATCCTGGCCCGGTTGGGCAGGCATTCTCTTTATTTAGTGCATGGGATTCTGAGAGGTTGTGGCTGTGCCCAGGTCCACAGCATGAGGCGGAGCAGAGCCCGGCCCTTCTGACCCACCATTCTGGGTGGCAGCTGGGAGATGAGCAGAGTTGATGCCTTTGCTGTGCTTGTCCCAGGACTGGGTACGTTACCGACCTGTACCCAACGTGTGCATCTCTGAGTCCTAGACTGAGAATGTTGAATGTACTCAAATATGGTCTAACGTGTCTTGATGACGCCGAGTCATGCTTCTGAGTCTAGTTACTGAACCATGGGCTGAGTGCTGGAGTTGCCTGCCCCCCCCAAATGGTCCCAGGCTGCCATGTGATGATTTTCATCCCGCACCATTGCTGTCAGCTGTCACAGTCTCCAGCAACAGTGTCCCCTCCACCTCCGTGCTCCTCCTCCTAATTCTCACCTCGCATCTGCTGCAGTCTGGAAAGCCAGATAGACAGGCTTCTTAGAACTGAGTCCAAAGGCTGCAAGTGAGGGGCTCTGTCCCGTGGAGGGAGGAGTGACCATGACACCAAAGACCCGTCTGGGAGACACCCACATCGGGTTGACTTCTGAGCTTTCTGGTATACTCTACATTCTCTATTCTTGGGGGAATTCGAGTTTCCCAGAGAAGAGACCTCTGGACAAGTGGGGCATTGCTGTTCCACGATTCAAGTTTAAAAGGCTTAGAAAAGACCATAACGTACAGCAGAAGTGGCTGCTGGGAACGATGGGCACGTGTGTGTGAGTACCAGGGCACGAGGGCACCGTGGACGCAGTGACCATGATGCTGGGTGCCGTGCAAACTCAGGCTGGGGTTTGTGAGGGGTCCCAGGGCTCAGGCCGGCGCGCTCCGACCACCCTGCTCCCCGTGCGTGGATCTGCTGCCGTCGCCCACGTCGGCTGCATTAATACACCCCCCGCTGTTCCTCAGGGTCTGGGCCCCTGCATGGCTCTAGGAGCACCCTGCTCTCTGGGTCTCCTGGTCTCCAGGAGAACGGTCTCTAGTGCTTCAGATCTTGTTGTTAAAGCCACTGGCCCATATTCTGCAGGTTTTTTCCCCAAGGTACTTTCTCTCCATTCTGTTCCCCCTAACCGTGTTCCCTGGGGCAGGCGCCCACTGGATTCTGTTCTTCCTTGAAGAAATTTCTATTCTCATAAACATATACGCATGGCGCCCTTTCTGCTTCTCGGCTGAGTACTCCAAGGAGATCAGAGTGATCCCAACTTGACTTAACGTTGGCTGCTTTACCAAGCCTCTTTTGTTTGTTTGCTTCCTTTTAATTTTGTTTTTTATCACAGTAATCCATATGCATCTTTTTTGATATCAGACAATACCGAGGGGCTTATGAGGATGGAGCAGCAAGCCCCGCGCCCCCCTCGCTCCCCCACTCAAGCCCTCCCGACGGTTAACCATTTTCAGTTCTTTTAGTTCCTCCTTTCTGATATTCACCTTCATGTTTATCCTACTACTTCTCAGTTTACCAATTTTAGATGTTATCTGTTGCCTCCGTATTCTTGCCTTTCCTGCTAATATCATTCTGTCACAATTTGGGAGTAAATCCACAATGTAAATATGTTCCCTGCTGAGCTGTTACCTCCTTAAAAAGAGTTAATTATTGTTCACCAACTTGATTTTCTCTGTGTCTAGCTCCGATTCTTCCCAATACACCAAAAATTGAGAAAACACCCATCAGATATTTGATCTATTTGTTCACTAATGGATTCCGGGGTTTTTTTCTAGACACTGGGGTGTCTTGCCAGTGAAATTCCTTAAAGCTTTTTTCAAAACAAATGAAAATTTAGTTTGTTTAAACTTATTAAAATAACTCCGTGGTGCCTCTTTTGAGAAATCTTCCCTGATCCCCCTCCTCCCCAAGGCTGCCCTCCTCTGGGCCTCCACAGCCCCCCGTTCTTGTCCTCACACACCCTGTAGTGCCCTGAATTGTCACTGCCTCTTTTCTTGCCCACTGCTCTCCCTACGCTCCCCCCACACTATGAGTCCTTGAGGGTCTTATCTCTGCTGTCTCCCTGGGAATACACAGGAGCTGGCTGGCACACAATAGGTGCTCAATAAATGCTTGTTGGATTGAAATGCAAGAGTGGTCTTATGGTCCTATGCTCCGGGGTTCCGTGACCTTGCCGACCCTGTGCTCCCTGGCATTTTCCACGTGGCCCTGCCCTCCTGGTAGGGTTTGGGGGCCCTTTGGGGTCTGTTCCAACTTAACAACAGCCTTTTCCTCCCAGGTCTGTGGTGCGTGCCTCACCCACCCTCCCGCTGCACTGGCCTCAAGCACCTCAGGGCCTTGGCTTGGTCCTCCTCGCTTTGTAGTCCCAGCCCGCACCGCTGAGCTTGGCACAGACTGATTGCTCAATAGATGAGTGAGGTTGAGGCTCGCTCAGTCGATCAATCGATAAGCCAATCAGCCTTCCTCCACTCCGTCTCTGTCCCCAGACGTTTCTCATTATCCGGCATTCGGATGATCAGAAGGAGAAAGGAAAAAGAACGCTGTGCATAAAGGCGACCCCATTTCAGGTTTCTTCATGACTCACCCAGTGTGGAAAGACAGCAGGAGCAGGAGAAGGAAAGAGAAAGGAAGGGGGACCAGAGGGACATTCTGGGAGACGTCCGGTCACTAGATGAGCTGTGTGCAGGCAGGGACCAGCCCGGGCACTGCCCGCCTCTGGGCTCAGCCCCAGGCACAGCACGCCGTGGATACCCAGTCAGAGCTGACGTCTGACTGCAGGAAGGAGGGAAGGACAGAAGTCCAAATCCAGGCCTGTGTTGCAAAAGGGGCAACTGTCCGGACCCTTTTTCCTCTGGGGCACCTGTCCATCCTGCAGTCTCTGGGTCCTGGCTAACTCAGGAAAGTGCTGATCCGCGATGTGGTAATAAGCCTCAATATCCACAGAGGCCCCTCCCTTGTAAGGACACCGATTGACAGCTGGCAGCCAGGGAAAAGGACTAATGCAACCTCTCCCTCCCGGCCCGAGGGCCTGGTGCTTCCTTGGAGCAGCCCCTGGAGAGGATACCCCATCCTCAGAAAGTCGTTCATTCCCCCTGTGCCCGTGCCTGCTGTGTGCGCCCCGCAGCTGGAGATGGAGAACTGCGCAGACACAGCCCAGGCCAACCTCCAGGCTCACTCGCACCCTCCTCCCCTCCCTCCTTCCTGGCCCCCGGCTCTCAGCCAGAGCAGGAGATCCGAGAGGGCCAAGCCGCCTGCGGAGACCAGGCCTCTCCACCTTGGCTCACCCGGGACCCAATGGGAGGAGGCCACAGCCAGGCAGCCAGGGCCAGGGCAGGCGTGGCCCACCCTGCAATCAAGCTGCTGGCTGCTGGCTTGTGCCCGCTGCTCCCAGAGAGTGAGCACTTCTCTGGTGGGAGCCGTGAGTTTGGGGGGAAGCCTTTAAAGCAACTCTTTGATGCATCCCCAGTGGAAGTGAATTTATTTTTTGTACTTTTCGGAATTAACTTGCCATTCTCAGCCTCTCCCTCCCTCCCTCTCTCCCCAGAAAGGAGAGAAGGAGAAAAGAAGAGAGGGTCTGCATTGTCGCCGTGATTGGCACCTTCTGTGAATGAGGGGTCACCGCGTCGGCTGCTCCTTTTCAAGCGGCCCCTTTCTCCCCTGCACGCCGTATTCACGCCGGAACGTTCTTTCTCTCAAAGCTTCTGTCTTTCCCTCCCGCTTTGAGTCTCTGCCTTCCTTCCCCACTTTCCTGCCTTTCATTCTGAGCTCTCGCCACCTCCCTCGGGGACCGGTCTCTTGTCGCTCTCTTTTTTCCTCTTTTCTTCTTCTTCTATTCAGTTCCTTTTTTTTTTCCTTTTTGCCTCTCTCTTTTTTCTTTCATTTCTTTCTTCTTTTTCTTTTTGAATAGTGCTTCTGTTTTCCAGGGACCGGACGAGTAGAGAAGTCGGTTTGTTTGAGGAAGGGAGAATGTGAATGTTTTTACTTTTCTCCATTGCTCTAAATGCGTAAAAAAAAAAAAAAAGCCACCATGCAGGAGACGCGGTTCCTGCCTGGAGAGGGCAGGGCCTTTGGGAAGGGACTCTGCCAGACGAGAGGGAGCTTTTCATCACAAGTCGGGCCGTTCTCTCCGAGAAACCCCGAATCAGTCACCAGGGCCGGCTGTCAAGGGCCTGGGGCTGCAGCCTGCAGGATTCAGACCTGGCCCTGGGGGCAGTCTCACTTTCTGCTTGGCCCCAGGGTGGGCCTCGATATGGGGGTGAGGATCAGAGGTGGATGTGGATCCCCCAAACCTCCCTCCTCTGCCGGCGGGGGGCTGGCTTTCCCAGCGAGGGAGCACCCAGTGGGGGCCGTGGGAACATGGTGCAGGGGCTGAGTGTGAGCAGGAAGGCAGGCCACATGCAGCACCACCATGGTCTAGTGTGTCCCCGGCTGCAGGGGGAAGTGGGCCCCATGGAAAACGACGTGGAGTCCTGGAGGGGAGCCTGGAACAGCAGAAAGGAGGCAGCTGGGACAGGTGGATGGCTCCAAGGAGGCAAGCAAGCCTTGGGGTTTATACAGGTGGCAAATGATGGAAGGTTTGACATCGAGGAAATGTTGTGGGGGCTGGGGATAGAGGGGCAGGTCTGTGACATCAGCACGGAGATAAGAGTTGGGGTAGAGGGACACGTCTGTGATATCAGCAGGGAGGTGAGAGTTGGGGTAGAGGGACAGGTCTGTGACATCAGCACGGAGGTGAGAGTTGGGGTAGAGGGACAGGTCTGTGACATCAGCACGGAGGTGAGAGTTGAGGTAGAGGGACAGGTCTGTGACATCAGCAGGGAGGTGAGAGTTGGGGTAGAGGGACCAGTCTGTGACATCAGCAGGGAGGTGAGAGTTGGGGTAGAGGGACCGGTCTGTGACATCAGCAGGGAGGTGAGAGTTGGGGTAGAGGGACCGGTCTGTGACATCAGCACGGAGGTGAGAGTTGGGGTAGAGGGGTATGTCTGTGACATCAGCACAGAGGTGAGAGTCGAAGCCACGGGAAGAGGGTTTCTCCAGGGGAGCGCCTGTCGGGTAAGAAAGCCAAGGCTGAGGCCTGAGCCCGGGACCACTGGGATAGAAGGGGGAAGAAGCGGGCAGAGAGAGGGGCAGCTGTGAGTGGCCAGAGCCAATGGGGACAGCAGGGCGGCTGCCAGGTCAGGAGGAGGCCTGAACCAGAGCCTCTGCATTTGGCAAAGGCTCACCTGTGACCTTCGAGAGGACAATTTAGGTTCAGTGGAGGCAACGGAGAGCAGGGGTCGAGGAGGCGATGGAGGCCGTAGGACTTGAGCTCCTGTTCAGGGAGTGGAGGGAAGGCGAGAGACCGGGCATCGGCAGGAGCTGCAGCCTGGCCGTGGTGCCTGCGAGGGAAGGGGTGTGAGTGGAACAGGCTTGACCGAAGGGGGATGGGGGGCAGGCCTAGAGGAGACAGGGGCTGGCTCTGGGGCCCATTTCTTTCCTGCATGGGGAGGGCCTCAGGCTGCAGGTCTGGAAGATGCTTCACCCCTCCTCAGAGCGCAGGAGAAAGGGGTAGGTTTGCAGCTCTAGGTTCCCGGGACCATGAGGACCTCAGTCTAGCCCAGAATTGCCCAGGGGCCCCAGGAATGGCCAGAACACTTGGGGAAACAGGGAACTCTGGGAAGGAGGCCTGGGCTGTGCGGCCTGGGCGACGTGGATCGAGGGCTGCAGGCTGGGGTGTGCCAGCTCAAGCCACTGGGCCTGGAGATCTGGGCCCTTGGGGCCTCCGCGAGCAAGCCCTGTGTCTCCTCCTCTGCCACACCCAGCAGGGCGGACTCATAGTGGGCACCTCCTAAATGTTTGTTGGAGAGTGAATTGAGTTTGTCCTTAGCAGTGGAGTGGACACAGCACTGCACACGGCCAAGTGCTGTGAAAATCGGAGAGGCCCGTACCAAGGGGGGAGGGGCAGCGAGGGAAGGGGCGACATCCTCCCCAAGGAAGACAGGCAGGGCCCATGCAGGAAGGTGGAGGGACGAGACGGTGCCAGGCAGGGAGGGTGGCACGAGCAGGAAGGGGTGGTGACCAGGCCAGACAGCAGGCCCAGGTCGAGGAAGAATGTCCGGGAGTGAATCTGAACCCCCCGGAGAGTGATTTCTTCAGGAAGCACATGGTGAGCACCCACTGTGTGCAAGTTTGGTGGGTGACACACGCTTCAGGGGAGGAGGGCCTGGGGCTCCAAAGGGCTGGGGAGAAGGCTGTGTCCTCCCTCTGCGTCCGGGTCACTGAGACAAGGTGACGTGGGAAAAGGTGGCATGAGTGTGGCTGTCTGGGGACCACAGGGGTTTCCACTCCAGGAAAGGGATCACGATGCCCGGGGAGCGGGGCACTATCCCTGCAGAGTCTCTGAGACCGGAGATCCGAGACTGGAGCCAGGTGGGGAAGGCCACCACGGCCCTTCCTGGCCCCTTACCTACTTCTCGAGACACCTGCTGGCAAACACCGAGCCTGCCAGAGAGCCTGCCAGGGCGGGCCGGCTGCCCATCAGGTTTTTCCAGTTCAGGCAAGAACATCTCCCCACACCCCATTGAGGCGCCCACACGCCCTGGCCTGGAGATGAAAGGGGACCCTGTCCTGTGAAGGCAGCTGGCGCCTGGCAGGGGCACGGGGCTCTGCATTTGGGAACAGCCTTTGGAGGCGGACATGGTTCCTGGGCCCCAGTTTCCAGGGTGACCGAGGACCGGGTGGTCAATCCCTCCTTCGAGAACTGGCATCAAGGAGCGTGGCTCCTACAGGAACTGGCTTTGTGGCCCCAGGCAAGTTACCCAGTGCTAATAATAGGAGCCACCAGGCCTGGTGCAGGTTCTGCTGCCAGCACTTTGCATATTTCACTGGGAAGGCAGGTGCTCAGTACCACCCCTGTGTAGCCAGGAGAGAGTCACAGCCCTGGGAAGTCGCAGACCTGGGATCTGAACACACGTCTTCAGGTCCCAGTGTGAGCTCCAAACCATTGCTTCTCAATCTTTTCTCTTAATTGTTATGATTTCTAATCCTCGCAGACTGGTGACTTATCAACCCTTCCTGGCTATCATGGCAATGTCAAATTGCTATGGAAGTTTCAAAATGCTACTGTCATTGCTGTGGAAGCTGTCACCAGGAGCACAGCTCTGAAGGCGTTCTTAACCTTTCTGTGCCTCAGTTTCCTTATCCGTAGGACGAGGGTGATGGTCAGTATTAAATTAGATAATGCACTTTGAGTTGGCACAGGCTGGCACTGTAACTCTTAGGACCACCAGCCAGTCCGCTGACATCTGGATTTTGCCATCTGTCGAATGAGAACAAGAGGGTTGCCCACACAGATGCTGCCCGTATGGATAGCTGCTCAGAACCCGGCAGGGAGGACCCCGTGGCATCATGCCTGGGAAGCGCTTTGTAAACTGTAGAGGGCTGTGCCGGGGTGAGTGGACGTGCTCCTTCCCATGCCCAGCCTGTCTTTCTGAGTTCCAGGAGAACTTGTGTTTCATCCTGCGCTGTGGCACCCAGCAGGGACTCCACCCTGAGTGCTCCTGGCCCAGGACACTGCCCAGCCAGTCCTTGCCTCTCAGCAAGGTGAGTGTGTTGTGTGTGAGTGTGCTTGATTTTCACACAGGAAGCCTCCTGGGCATTTAGTGTCAAGGAACAGGGGCCAGCACAGGGGGGTCTCATTCTCGGAGTCTCCCCTCCACCCTGTGACCCACTGGGGCTGCTTTTGCTCAGGGGTGAGATGAGAAGGTGCCCAGGGATCCCAGAAGAAGACTCCACACTCTGGTGAGGAGAGCTGGGTTTTGTAGTTTGTTTAGGAGTTTGGTCTGTTGAGCTGCCTTAATGAGTTGTGAAATTTCGCCTAGTGTCTGTGACGAGGGCTTCTACAAGCCGCCGCAAAAGCCCTTCCCACCTCTCCAGGGCTCCACTCTGGCACTGGGGTCCGGAGCGCCTGTCCCTAGGCAACCCAGGGCTCTCGCGTGAGCCACAAACTTGAGCTGGAACCTCCCTTTGAGTCCGGGTTCTTCTCCAGCATCTCTTTCCTTGCATCTGATTTGGTTACTTTTTCTCCCCAAAAAGAGGAGCTGCTTTTCTCAAGTGGCCATGCTCCCGCCACCCCTTCGTGGAGTTTACTCCAGGTGTTTCCAGTGCTAAGAAGAACATGCCGGGTCTCTCAGGGCCCTGGGTGGGTCACACCATGTGTGTACATAGAGTGCAGTGTAGAAGCACGAAATTACCATTTACCAGACGCCAGCCCCCAGGCCTGGCGCTGTCACCCGCATAGGCTTATTTAACTTCTCTGTCATCCTGCAGGAAAGGCAGCTGTTATCCCATTGCACAGTTGAGGAAACTGAGGCTCTGAGAGATGAAGCAGCTTGTCCAGGGCCGTACGGGAAGTGGCTGAGCTGACTCCAGAGCCTCCTGCTGCCCTCAGTCAAGGGCCTGCCCTGAGGGTCCCCAGACCCCACAGGCTGTCCCCACAGCAGGGCGAGTGGTGAGGACACCATCACCTCCACCACAGACCTCTAGTGAAGGCCAGACCTTTGCTTGTTTCATAATAGTCACCTCCACTAAAATCATTTTGGCCTTTGGGTCACAACTCCACGTGCGTTTCGGTTTTAGCGCCTGGGGACACGTGGCCCAGAGCCCACCGCTCTACAGATGAGGTCTTCTAAAGCCCCTAAGTGTCATCCTTTAGGATCCGGACTGAAAAGGAAATCAGTTCCCACTCTGTGCTGAGCTGGCCACTTGAGCACTTTCTCCTCTGCCATGCGTGGGCCGCCCCTCTATGGGGACCTGCCCTCCACTCTCCTTCCCAGGCCCCACTGCCCCTCCAGCCAGGCCTCCCCAGGGATTTTCTTGTCTCTACCCTCCATCCTCTTGCTCCCCTCTTCCAGCCTGCATCCCGAGGCCCACTTCAGCCCTCCCCATTAGCTCCTGGTAATAGACAGATGGACAGACCCACAGCGCAGCGCCCGGCTGGGGCACCCCATCCTGTGGCCCCAGCCTCCTCCTGCCTTCTCTGCCGGGTCTCTCCCCTGAATGTCTCAGATCTCAAGTGCATTGTGGGCTCCCTCCTTCCTCATGGCATCTTCCCTCCCCAGCTAGACTTCAGGGGTCCTCAAGTGGGTGTGTGCACGTGGGCTTCCCCCCCATTTCATGGTCCTGCCCCTCAGCTCACCATGTGAAAGTATCGTCTGGTCGGGGACTGGGGAAAGCGTGCATTTGCACGTTGTTCCTGCTCGCCGCTGATGACAGCGTGTGTGGTCGGCCGTATGTGTGTGATGTCTGCGTGTGTACACTGTCAGCCTAAATGTTTCGCCAGCTATCCCTCCCCCAAGGAGATACATGGAGGCATTACGTGAATGAGAGAGGCATTCTGTGCTCATCTCCTGGCATAAATCTGTACTCAAGTTGGATGTGTGGGTGACTGCAAAATAAATGTTGATTACGGCATCGGCTTCAGGAGGCAGCCGCTGCCAGGGGCTCTGCCGGGGTGGAGGCCCTGGGATGAATCACGCGGCTGCTGTGGGAAAGAGGGAGAGGGCTCAGTGCCCAGGCCACGCTCCTCGCCCGTGCTCGTCCCTCGGCACCTTCCCTGCCATCTCTGCGCTCATCTTTCCTCTCTACCTTCCTTCTCCATCCTGTGCCTCCAGCCTGGGCAGGCTGTGTGCATCTCTCCCTGCATCTCTTCTCGCATCTCTAGGCCTCCCCAACCCCTCTGCCTGCCCTTTGTGCACCGAACACTCGGATCATGCTCCCAGGGCTAATGGGCTCAGTGAAGTCTCCTAACAACTCTGGGAAGTGGGCACCGTTACCCTGTGTCACCAGTGAGGGCACTGAGGCTCACACAGACTCACGTGTAAGGGATGGGGCCAACTCCGCAGCCCATGCTCTGAGTCTCCGTTGCCTCCAAAGTGCCAGTTTACCTGGAAGAATGTTCCCGACCCCTTAGGTTTAAAAAAAAAAGCAAAGTTCCATTGTTGTTCTGTGGTACCCCACACATTTAGTGCGTCTTTCCTCTCTGATACTTTGCTCAGCTCTTCCGTGGTTTTTAGTCTTGTCTCACTAGCCAAATTGTGAGGTCGCTGAGGGTGGAATCTTCATGCCCCACCAGCCGCCGGCACCAGCCTGGCCCGTGGAGTGGATAATGAGAAATAATAATAATGGCCATAGCTCCTCGTGACTGAGTCCTCATGACGCACCAGCCTTGTCATCCAACACTTCATTCCCCTTAGCTCCCTTACCTGAAAAGCACAAGCATTTAAGTTACACCCAATAATGGAACCCAAGCTCCACCTATTCTCTGGTGTGTCTGGTGACCTTGGGAGGGTCATTCAACTCCTCTGTGCCACTGTCCCTGCTTTACATACATGACCTCCTCAGGTACAAGTCTGGCCTGAAGGAGGGGCTCAATACATGGTGGATCCTTCTCATGTCACTATCCCCATCTTACAGACAAGGAAACCGAGGCCCAGAGAGGCCTCTGGGACTGAGGAAACTGCCCAAGGCCACACAGCTCGGCAGTGGCAGAGCAGGTGGTGCCGGCCGGCCTGCCAGCCTGAGGGCCGGGTCCTTCTCCCTCGGTTCCTCTACAGAGCGAGGGGCTCTTCCCCATTCCCCCATCTCTGCTGCTTCCCCTCTCCTCCTCCCCAGGCCTGCTCCTGGGGCTCCTGAGGTGCTAAGCCAGCCTTTTAGGGGAGAGGCAGAGCTGTCATGTCATTGGCACCTCTGAGGGCTCGGCAGGCCCAGAGCATCTTGGGGCCAGGCCTTGCCAGCTGCACCCAACGGGGCCAGGCGGGAACTCCTCCAGCGGGGCCTTTGGGTCCCGGGACTTAGGGGCGGCTGGTACCTCCCCCTGGCCCAGCAGCACGTCACAACTCCAGCAGATGCTCACACGGCCTGCAAGGTTCCCGAAGGTGAGGGCCCCCTTCTTCTCCATTTGACTTTCGTTTCCTGGCAGACTTGCTCCCGTTTTCCCCCAGCCCATCTCTTCTCTGTCACTGGGATGCTGGGCCCACAGCCATAATCGGCTTGCCTGGTTTTCTGTGGTAAATCTCTTTGTTTCTCCTGTCGCTTCTGATCACTCCAGATTAAACACAGAAACGTAGAAAGCAGGGATTGAGAAGGCTGGCCCAGGGGTCCGTGTGACCCTCCCCTCCCCTGAACACAGGAAGAAGGAAGTAAAAGGGGAGAAACCTGATTCTAACCAGCTCAGATCCTGCCTTTACCTCCTACGTGTGATGGCCTTGCCAAGCCTCAGTTTGCTCATCTGTAAAATGAAAATTAAAATGCCCATCTCCCTGGGTGGCCTGGATCGTGCGCCTGGTCCATGACAGAAGCTCAGTAAGTGATGGCTGAAAGGAAATTGAAAGCTGCTGACAACCGTCACTTCTGCCTTACACTGTGGAGACACAGATGCAGTTAGCAGAGCCCACAAGCTTCGGAGTGTGGGGAGCTGGGTACACTGAGCATCCGCTGTGTGCCCGGGCCAGCGGCCAGGCACTGTGTCTTGTTCACGCATTCCGGCAAGGCAAGGTGGGGCCTGGAGGAGGAGCACAGAGCCGTGGGTGGGTGGGCTCTCCCTGAACTGCGGGGGATTCCTGCTGGGCCAGCACTGGGAAGGATGCTGGGCCTGGCTTAGCCCACCCTCTAGGTCCTGCCTTGCTCTGTCCTCAGGGGGCCTCCAGGGTCTCCCCCAGCCCGGCCTCAGGGAAGCAGGGCCAAGTCCCGAGGGTGAGCCCTCACCCCCTGGACACCTGCCACCTGTGTGTTCTCTCCCTCCCTTCCATAGCTGTGGTCAATAGAGAGCCCGCATGGTGGCAGGCAGGGGGTCCATTCTGGGATTTGTCTGAGTCTGACCCTTGGAGATGACCTGAGAGAAAGAAGGCTGGGACTGATGAAATGGGTTTCTTTTTCCCTCCTTTCTTTCTTTCTTTTTTTTAAGCAAGAGATAAATAAATGTCGCCCTGAGATGACAAGAGAACCCTGAAGGAGATAAAAGGAGAGTAAAAGGGAGCGAGAGACCAGAAGCAGAGGACAGAGGGGGATCTGGACCATACACTGCGATGAGGGGAGAGATGAAAGAGGAAAGAGAGATGGGAACGCAGGACCGAGCGGCAGAGAGGAGGATGGGGTTGCCACGGAAACGGAAGGAGGGGAGGAATGGAGGGAGAGGAAGACGGGATGGAGAAGCAGAGGGCTCAGTGTGGGAGGGGCCTGAGACGAGGCTCCGTGAGGAGGAAGGGAAGCCAGAGGGGCTCCCAGAATCAGGCCCCCCTGTGGGGAAACTGAGGTCAGCAGGGGAAGATGACAGGAACCCAGAAAGCTCATCCCCACCCAGAGCTGGCAGCGTGCAGACAGCTGGGCCTGGACCCTGGGCTGACCCAGCTGGGGTCTGCTCCACCCAGCCTCACCTTCCACAGCTGTGGGATGGAAATGGCGCTCCCTCCCCAGAGGGCTGCGTGGAAACCTGGAAACGTGTGTGCTCATCACAGGGCCTGACCGAGGTCAAGCCCAGTCCATGCTCCTGGTGTTTCTTCATCTGTGGTTCTTGTCTTTGTCCCGTGAACTTGTGAGCCCGAGTT